GGAAAAATGGTTGTAGCAACAAGATTTAAGACTAAGAAAATAGAAGACCCACGTATTGAACTAGCATTCATTATAGTAAATCGTTTTCCTTTCATTGCACTGATATTTTTGATAAATTTTCCAGATCTCCGAACTGCGCAATTGGATAAAATAAGCGCCAATTCTCATCGTAAAGTTGCAATTTTGACCAATTCTCAGCCGTTATTTTAACTTCATCCAAATTGAAATCACCTGCAAATATTTGAAGCTTCACTGCATTCAAGTATCGAGGAGAACTAATTTCTTTCTTTCTGACTGTAACACAGACTTTATCTCACGGTTATCGAAAGTGAGCTCGCTTATTTTCCATAATATATTCTTAATGCTAAAAGTCGCCAAAGATACGAGTGTATTGACCGGGAATATTGGATACAACGATTCTACAGACCAAACCACTTAACACGTAATTTATGAAAAATGTACAGGATTACAAAAATGAAAGAGGATTACAGTTTATAAAATTTGATTTTTCTACCAGGATGTCAAGAAATCAAACTTGCCCTATAGTGGTAAAATTTTGCGTGGAATTCAGGTTAACATTTAATTTTCTCAGTTTGCTTTCACCACGTTTGGTCTTTTATCCGTCCTCAGAATTGAAAACACATTTTTTACCAGCAGAGAAAACAGACTAGCGAAGAACCAAGAAAAATCCCTTTGTCAGTCGTTTGTCCGTATGAGACAGACTTTTGTGTCTTTTGTATCAAGAAAGTTATGACTAAAAGTAGAGCAGACGGTAAGAAGAACTGACTGCCGACTGAAAGCAGCCGAACAGTACACTAAGATAATGAAAAGAAAACAAAGAAATCCCTGAGCTATTGTACTAATTAAAATCAGTTGAGAAAGAAAAACAACACTCTGGGCATCTGCCAAAACGTTTGTGTTTGGGATAAACAACGTGTAAGTTTAAGAAAAATATTGACAGAATTTAGCGAGAGCAAACTTAATCCCGCGTCACGTTCGCATTTGAAATCTGAAATTTTCAGAGGTATACGTCTCTAGATTCCTGTCAAAACATCAAAACTAAGCCAGACTGTGAAGTTATGACAGAAATCATTCAAACATTGCTGTGGTTAATTAATAATTAAACCAGGAAACTTTGACGAAAGCGGAAACTTTGAGTGAGCTCTTCTATGGTCTGACATAGTATAGGTCAGGATATGCACTTGAAAAAATTCAAATTAAGTCTGGATTACAGACATAAAAATTATTCTCGGATTCACTGCTCATATTTTCTACATCGCGTTATTTTCCCATTTGGTCTACTGACATAAATGGATTGTAGCCGGGAAACATGGGGTTTTACCGCTCGAAGATACGCGTAACCAAGGCTTGTACCACTAGCTTATCTCATGGAAGGACAATATTTGAAAATATTTGGCATGGCACTTAAGACAGGCTAAATTTAGTTAAATTTATTAAACAGCGCGGACACTTTTCGACCTTGCACGGTCTTTGTTGTGCAACGCAAAAGCTTTGCTCGTTGACAGCTTTACTATCAATGCTAAGTGTACGAAAGGAAATATGTTTACACAAAAACGCACAACTTTGTAGATTTATAATTTCGCAGAACGCTTGCCAGGGAATATAAGCGCGGCGCGTTATTTCGAGTTGTGGGATGTTTTGGCAAACAAAACAAGTAAATAACTATTTTCTACGAAAGCGGCTTGTGGTCATAATTGAATTGAATAGTATTTGCAGTAATGTACTAATTGAAGAGGAGCGAACGTATTTCATTTCCCACTTACTTCTGGGCTCTCGACATTTAAGATTCGTCCCCTCTTGCACCACCAACCATTATCCTGGCACCAGGAGCTGAGTACAAGAAGCGGAAAAAAGCTCAGTGTCACAAACGCTTCCCACAGCTCGATTTCGTCGGGTGTATGCCACTTCAGCACGATCAACAGCCATACATACGCAAAAAGCGACCAGATCGACGTGACAATAAATACACCGAACTCTCGAATCTTTTTTACTGTACCACTTGGAACACTGACCACGCATATGGCTGTAATAAGTAGCAGATTAAATGAAGCGGATCCTATTATAGTAAAAGTACCAAGTCCGTCTTTGTCCTCCTGTGATGCGTCAGGCACGTTCCCTAGATTTTGAACTGTTTCCACCACAGCTAAAAGGATTTCCGGGGCCGAGGAACCCAAGGCCATAAGGGTTAAATTGGCGACTGTTTCATTCCATACAAATACTTCGATTTCCACGCGTTCTTGCTTCTCGGGATCGTAGCGAGTTACTTTACGCTTTTTGCTTGTTATTACCTCGATGCAGCTCATGAAAATATCCGCAATTATCGCGATCCCTAGAAATAAGTAGAACATAGCAACTACGTACAAAAACCCACGGACTCCGTCACTCCATAAGTTCTCTGCCGGCAAGAGAAGCCAGCTTTCGAAACAAGGAGGTGAATATTCCACAATGTAACCCTTGGTGAAATTCGTGAAATAAACCATTGTAATTGACGTTTCGTCGCTAAACCGGTGACCTTCTCACAAGTTCATTTCCTCGATCGATGACTGAAACGACGCTACGAGGATCCATGCATCGAGAAGTTTGCCGCTCGGAGCGATGTAGTGTGCTTTACGGCTTATCCACTCGAGGAGATCATAATGGTAAAACAACATACTGGATTCATCAACGATCGAGGGTGTCCGGACGTCCTTTGGTACCAATCACTTAATATCACGGACCGCCAGTTAACATATCAGGACCTCTCTCACGCTGTTTTATTTGAAGGATTTCGCCGTCCATAAACTCACTTTTTTGTTCTGTTTATCACCCCTGTATCAAATGCTGCAACAAAGAGAATAGATTGTCACGGCAATATATATCATTTATCTTTTCTATCAAACACGGCCACAACATGGATTTATTCAAATACGTCAACACCTGGCCCGATCATGAAAAACCCGTTGCCTTGGTGACCGCAAACAAAGGCTTTGGCGCTCATTAGAAGATTTGTTTACCCGGCAAGACTCAAGTGTCTTTGACCGAGCTAAAGATGACATTTGTTTGAGATGCAAATGAAACTCCTTAGAAGCAGTTATTTACTTTTGTTAGGCCATATTGTTAACCAATTTTAATTGAAAATCCGCCAGACATTTAAGTCGTCAATTATTTTTTTTTCAGTGCCCGACTTTTATGTTGCGCTTCGATCGCACAAATCATTTTTACAAGAGTAACGAGACTAAAATCAAAACCAGATTTTTTTGGTTTCTTTTTAGCAGATGAATACACCAGAAAAAAGCTTTGATTGTACGAGTTCAGCGGCCTAGATTGTCAAATTATGATAATTTCCCAGAGAGGTTTAAATATGGCATTCGAGGAGATTACGGAAACTGATTAGTCAGCTTTTGTTCATGCGTAGAAAATCTTATTATCAAAGTATTCATTGCCGACTGCTCTTTATAATTAAGCGAAGACGTTTTTGAATTTCGGCTTAGCTTATGAGCATAGATATGTAAAACACAAGCTAAGTTAGTTTATACATATGGCACATGGGTACAGACATGTTGATTATGTTTAAGTTAATTTTTACTGACAAAAGACACGTAGCTTTTGGCTTAACTCCTATTGATTATCACGATCGTACTTTGCCTCTAGGCTCTAAGCTGAAGGACATTAGAAAATTTCATTTCGTGTGCAAATCTAAGCGGGATTAATTCAAACAAAACATCGTTGTACCCGAACGGGAACCGAGAGTGTCTTCTGGAAAATTTAGTCCTTTTCTTTTCGTTCCGGCTAAGATTAGCTGTCGTTTTTGCCCTTTTCTTCACCGTAGATTTCTACAAGATTTCCAGCTGCTTCAAATTGTTTCTGTTTACATTCAATGAGCAATTTCAGTTTTGTGATAACCGCAATCAGGAGATAGTCCTTCAAGGTGTTAATGGTTGGCAAATAGACGAGTAACAGTTCTTTTCTCTAAACATCACTTCTTACTGTTGTTAACAAGCGACTATTCACGAGGTATTCTCTTTTACAAAACTTATTTTGAGGCTAAAGCAATGGCGTCAATTAACATTAATTAATCGAAAGCATTCAATTCCTTTCCCCTTAAAGACAGTTGTTCTTGGAAAAAAACTGAATTCAAGGAAAGTGTGATATTATGCTGGTGTTCAAATGTTTAATTCCATGGTCATCAGCTTAGCTTGCCGAATACAACACTTATTTTCATTACACTACAGAGACGTTCTGTAGGTTCGAAATAGTTTAGTTGTTGATTGTTAATATAACGACAGTCAACGAAAGCAAAAAGTTGGCATAAAAATGTATTGTTATGTTGAGGTCGGAAAGAGAAAGAAAAAGTAAATCACAGACCTACACCTACTTAGTGATCAACAAAACGCCCACTCGTCCACACGTCAACATTTAATTGGAGCGCGGTCTGGAGCGAGTCAAAATATCAGGAACGGCGGGGGAGGGGGTTGGAAACGAGGTCTGCCTCTTCTTTGAGTTTGTTCCTGACCTCTTGGTTTTAGCCATGGTAGAAGTATTACAATTTCTGCAACGACTTTCTTGTTTTGTAAAAAGTAAGGCAAGGTGTATTTTGATCGGTTTTACATATCAACCAATGTAAAAACATTTCTATGACGTATTTTCACACTCAGTTTGAGGAGATAAATTATAAGAAGACCGGAAGCGCCACTATTTTTAGTCGTCAAGGTATCTTTTAGGGTTGCACTCGAAGAAATAATAACAAAAAAACCCACTGCCTGACCGTTTTAAAGTGGTATCACCTTTTCATGTGGGAGTACCCCCGAGTGCAAAATAATTACCAATTTTCTCGGTTAGCACGACTATATAGATCGAGTTTGAGTGAGCTTGTCGAAGGTTTCGGTAACGAAGATCAATAAAGGCACCATTTAAATGCACATTTTGGGCGAAGCTTTGAAAGAAGCACAAATAAAAGGCTTGTTATGTTTAGCGAAAAGCCCTATTCGAGCGAAATTAGATGCCCGATAATTATTTGCTCAAGTCCAATTTGCTGGAGTTATGTCCAAATATACTATTTGACATTGAGAAAAACAGGCTCATGTAATTATCACTATGCACTTTATCACCTTTTCATGCCAATTCACAGTTTCCAGCGATATAAAGGCAAAAGCTTCCTTTTTGTCGCTTTCGCTGGCAAATGCCTAAAAAACAGCAATAGCAGTTAGCGCTGTAATATTAATAAAAATTTACTTTCCTAATACGATTTCTCTCTTACCTTGGCAACTGAAATAACTCGATCATTGAGGAGTATTTTAGGCACGCGAACTTCAACTGCACGTAAACTTGTTTTCGTCGTCAAATATTTTCTCCTGTTTAAAGCTTGCATGTCATACATTTGCATTCCAAAAACACCTTTTTGCATTTTAGCCAGACATGCATTTGATAAATTGTCGGTCTGCCCGCCGTGTTGTACACCTGCCTTTCCCACAATACACTGTCTGTTTGTTTTGGATTGAAGAATTCCTAGCCATTAGCTTCTGATTATGTTACAGAAACCGAAACTCAGTTTTGAAAAGCGTGCTAGACTTAAGACGATGCTAAAAACTGCGTAATTCAAGTTGCAGTTTTCACTCATATTCCGAAACATTCACGGCCGGTTTAAAATTCTAGAGGCGCATTGAACATAGCTGATAAAAAGAAAAAACTAAAAGTAGAACTTTTTTCACATCATTAGCACTTTATTGTCGCCAATTCGAAGCAGAAAATTTTGTGTAAAATATCTGATATTGCCAAACCATGGATGCGATATGTTCCGTCGATACGAGAAATTGGCAATCGATGGGTCTACTTCGAGACTTTTGATCCTATCTGACCAGTCTATACACTGTTTTTATTAAATTAGAGGCACTTATTTCACTACACTTTTTCAATCTGTTTACATATGAAGTACATCCATTGTTCATGGAAGTTGTTAGATGACCACCCGATGGAATGAAAATTCAACGTTTATTTGCGGAAAAGAATTTCCTCCAGACATCGGGAATTTTGAACAGATGGCTAAATTATGGTAAGATTTCTTCCGCTCGTTATCTTCGACTTCAAATACCGCGGGAAGTATCAAAGCAAAGTTTCTCTCAGCCAAGTAGTTTCAAGAGGAAAAAAACAACATTGCATCAACTCGAAATTTTAACTTCATGTATAGTTCAATCAATAGATTATGGCTGTGCGGCCATGTTTGATAAATTGTGTGTAGTTTAATGTCCTGAGAATATTAAATATTTGATGAAGTAAGAGATAAAATGACAATTCTGATGCGGCAAATATGTTCTGTGTGGTACCTACAGCCCCAGGCTTCTTCAAGAGAGCCCGTTACTCAGCAACACTCTGGTGTCCTACAACCTAACAAGATTTATATCCAGCTCTTGTAAGTTCCCTTCATTTCACAAATTAGCCACTGTAGATTTTCTCTATGATCTCTCCCTATACCTTACGGACCAAATAAAGGACCATTAACATACTGCGGGGAAATGGAAAAAAACACAGCGTCGAGCGCTCATGGAGTTAATTGCTTATGATACCTGTAAAAATCTTAACAGTTATGGCAAAATTCTGATTATGTTATAAGCTAGGAAAACCACTGTTGCAGTCATTAAATATGGCTCTTATTTCCCTGCTTTAAACTGGTCATAATATAATTACATTGTACCCGAGGTTGACTGCGGCTTACAAGGTAGAAAATAAGTTTTAGATATTTTAATACTGAAATATATTCTCTTTAAAAATCCTGATCTTCAATAGAGATGAGCAGAGTTTTGAGAATAAAGTCTGGCTGATATGCATCTTTGTGTAATTATTGATTTAATGGCAGCTTCTAAGATGGTCTATCCATTTTCTCCGTTTATATTTTTCTGTTTTTAGTAACATCGACGTTAAAACAAAACGCGAAATGATTATCACCGGCTAGCTAGTACTTTTAAAAGAACGCCTGTTGTAATACGCTTTCCTCAGATACGCTGAGATTTTTCCATCAACGTAGGTAGTCGAAATAAATGAATAGGATAATTTGGCTGTGCAATTCCGTAAAAACAGAGAATTAATATTAATGCTAAGATGAGGTATAACTTGTAATGAATAATGTATTTTCCTTCTTCGCTCGCTTTAAATGATATTTTCCTCGAAAAAGGAGAAAAATTTAAGACTGAATTAAAAATAAAGATGGATCGAACTTTCCTCGCAATAGATGCTATATAAAAAGAAATTAAACTATACAAAACTAGTAGATCTTTTGAGATTTTCTTAAGTGTTACATAAACACAAATGTGAGTTTTGGCTATACATTTCACAATATAGAAGGGTTTATTGTTTGTTTGGAATATAAAAATACCCAGGCTTACCTTCTATTTAAAAATACCAACGTGATATTTACTTGTGAAGATTTAATTCGATGGAAAATTGAAAAGGAAACTTCCAACCCCGGTGAGATATTATAACTCCGGGATATTTTTTCCTTTACGTTACCATGATTACAAACACGATACATTTAAACTTCCTTTGTACTCAGTTCCAATAAGGAGCCTGAATTGTGGTAAAAAAAACATTTATGCAATTGAAAATGGCACGTCTTAAGAAAGCGGAATAAAAGCATTAAGCTTCACCGAAGGTTGAAAACACGATTTTCTGTTTTTTAAGATTAAAAAAAATTATGTTTTTTTTTTCCTTATAAAAATTGCTTTGAAGGGTAGTCAAAGAAAATAAAATTAACCTTGATGCGTTGGGATTTTTTTTTCATTCATAAAGGAGATATTTCTACGGCGAAGTTGACCTAACATCGCGAATTTATCTTTGTGTGAAATCTAATTCAGGAAGTTGGAAAACCGAACGAAGCTAAGATTTACTTTTATGATTTGTACGTTATAATAAACGCCAGTGGCTAATAGCCATAAGAATTAAACAGTTTTGTGCCTTTACTTACCGGACGATGATTTTAGCATTAAATGTCGCTTCTGGAAGTATCTTCTTAGTGAAAATGGAACGTAAAAACGATGTTTTTTCTATCGCGTCGATCGAGCGCGAGTGCTTGCAAGCCCCGTCGGTCGGCGACGATTGTTAATAACGTATTATTCAGGCAGACGCGCTGTTTGGTACGGTCTCAGTTCGCTGAGGAACGCAACTGTGCGCGTAATTAAAGATAATGTTAATCACTGTCAAGAGTGCAGGTGTAATTTTAATTTCTGGTGCAATGGATCAGGTGGGTTGGTTTGACAATACTGAGAAAGCGTCCACACTGTGCCGGAGAAATTTGAAAACGCAGCTTTATTTCTACGGTTAGGCCTACCGTCCACACTAATCCGTCACGAAAACGGAGCTTTTCAAAAATGTTCCTCAAACCAGAGAAATTCAGTTGAAAACGCTGGCTTTTCGTTTTCGTGTGAACGGAAAACATTTTGAAAACGGAGCTTTTCAAAAAAAAAAATGGCGTCACGACAATCATGCGATTTTCTTTGACTGAGTTTTCCTCAAACGTAAATCCAAAATGGCCGGTGATTGTGGCGGTTTAAAATTCTTCCGGCGTAGTGTGGAGGAAAACATGTGATACGTTGTCAGAGTGAAACCTCCGCTTTCAAATTCCTGAACAATAACCCATCGTCATTGCCCCTCATGTCAAGTGACTTTAAGTCCGAAGCATCGCCTCACAAGCTTGTTTTGCGAATGTGATTAGAAGAAGAAAAAGAAATAAATAAAATAGCACACCATAACGAGCACAAGAGGCAGAGATTCATCACAATCATGATTCATAAGTCAGTGAATTTTTTTAAATCCAGGCAATTGACTCATGGTTGTTAATCATCAGGGACGAACAATACGCTTAGTTGAAATGTTTCAAAGTTTATTATTTCCTTTTTTTCATCAAACGCAAAAATCAGTTAAATACTTTTGTACAATAAGACAATACCTAGCAGTAGTTATGGCAACAGAAAGGAAACGACGAACTTTTATTACGTCGAGCCTGGACCTTAAAATGAAGTTCGCGCTAAACTGGATGGCTGTGCTAGAATCTAAGTTATCAATTAAATCTTTGGTGATTTCTAAGCTATCAATTATAATTTCCGCCCATTTCTTAGTTATCATTAAATTTTGCAGATCTCTGAACGTAGCAATCAGTTGAAAAAACGCCGATGGCATTTCTCAGCTCGCAGTTAATATTTTGATCGATTCCAATCTACTATTTATGTTCCATCCGGAATCTTTATCAAAAACTGTACCGGCTGGGTTTCCCAAAACCCTTTAGAACTCCAGGCTAATCTCTCTAATGGTTTGTTTATTAAAAGCTTTTGTTTCAACACAGGAAGGTGCGAANAAAAAAAAAAAAAAAAAAAACGTTTTATATCTACCGGTACACTTCTTGTGAACAACTTTTCTTCAAATGATTTTAATGTTATAATTTAATCTCCCATAATCAGTTCTTCTACTAGACTACAGTTCAAATTCTGTCACCTTTTGC